CCCCCCCCCCCCCCCCCCCCCCCCCCCCCCCCCCCCCCCCCCCCCCCCCCCCCCCCCCCCCCTCCCCCCCCCACCCCCCCCCCCCCCCCCCCCCCCGCTTCTCTCCTTCCGAGCCGGCGCTGTGCCCGGGGCGCACCGGGAGGAGGGACCGGGATCCGGTGCCGGGGCGTAGATACTGACACCAAGGGAATCTGGGTGCCCCTCCTCACGCCATGTGGGCCCCCGGAAACCCGGCTCCGCCACCCCGACTGCCCCGTGGCCCCGGCCTCAATCCTGGCCAGGCGGAGATTCTGCGGACATTCAGGTATCTATTTGGGTGCATAGCCTGGGAGAGGAAAGAGCCAAGAGTGATGGGGAACATAAAAGGGGCAAAAGAAACCTCCAATTCTCCCTCCACCCGTTTTAGGTCCCAAATGCAAGCTGCTTCCCTCCCCCCACTCAATTTCTGGGGCTGTGGCAACCTAAAAGAATGGGAATATGTATGAGAATGTATGGATGCATGGTACGTGTGGGTGGCGTTCAGCATCCTAGAAAGGAGGATTCCAAGTGTGGATAAGAAAAGGGAGATGCTGGAAAGGTCCGATAAGCTGCAGGGTGAGGATAGGGGTGCGGATATTCCTGCGCGTGCACGTACGTATTTGCAAGCACTCGTCCTTCAGTGCGGGTGCACCCTTCCCACCTCCTCAGTCATGCGCTGGGGGAAGGGGGGGCTCAAAGGCATGAGTTAGAGAAAGGACTGTGTGCTGTGAAGCTCTCCTCCCCACGCCGCGTCCCTCCGTAGGTGCCTCAGTTTCCCTGCTGAATCTGTCAATAAGATCTCTCTCTCGCAGGGATCGGCTTCGCCACTGAGACCTCAGGCCTCTGCCAGCCACCACCCACACACCCCTAGCCATCTTCGGCAGGTTCTATTCCCGGCTGCACCGGTGCCGTCGCCCCAGCCTCAGCTATGCTGCACACAGAGGGCCACGCTCTTCTTCGGGCCGTGGGTCAGGGTAAGCTACGCTTGGCCCGTTTGCTTCTTGAGGGAGGCGCCTACGTGAATGAAGGTGATGCCCAGGGGGAGACTGCATTAATGGCGGCCTGTCGGGCCCGCTACGACGACCCTCAGAACAAGGCACGCATGATACGCTACCTACTCGAGCAAGGCGCCGACCCCAACATCGCAGACCGCCTAGGGCGCACGGCGCTCATGCACGCTTGCGCCGGGGGTGGGGGCGCCGCGGTGGCCTCGCTGCTCCTTGCTCACGGCGCAGACCCCTCGGTCCGAGATCACGCTGGCGCCTCGGCGCTTGTCCATGCCCTGGACCGCGGGGACCGCGAGACCCTTGCCACTCTGCTGGACGCCTGCAAGGCCAAGGGCACGGAGGTCATCATCATCACCACTGATACCTCGCCCTCGGGCACGAAGAAGACCCGGCAGTATCTCAATTCCCCACCGTCCCCAGGAGTAGAGGACCCTGCTCCCGCTCTTCCTAGCCCTGGGGTCTGCACATCGCCTTCGGAAATTCAACTGCAGACTGCAGGAGGAGGAGGGCGGGAGTTGTTATCTCCTCGCGCCCAGGAAGAAGAAGAGAAGCGGGACGTATTTGAATTCCCTCTTCCTAAGCCCCCTGAAGACCCCTCTCCTTCTGAGCCGCTCCCCAAACCACCTCGTCACCCCCCAAAACCACTCAAAAGACTCAACTCCGAGCCCTGGGGCCTAGTGGCCCCTCCTCAGCCGGTTCCGCCCGCCGAAGGGAGGCCGGGGATCGAGCGCTTGACAGCCGAATTCAACGGCCTGTCCCTGACCGGTCGACCCCGTCTTTCTCGACGTCACAGCACTGAAGGCCCAGAGGACCCGCCCCCATGGGCGGAGAAAGTGACGGGCGTGGGTCCCCTCTCTCGCCGAAACACAGCGCCAGAAGCTCAGGAATCTGGTCCCCCTTCAGGGCTGAGACAGAAACTGAGCCGCATGGAGCCGGTGGAGCTCGATAACCCCGGACATCTTTGCCCTGACTCGCCAGAGTCCAGCCGCCTGTCCCTGGAACGCCGCCGATACAGCGCCTCCCCGCTGACCCTCCCTCCAGCCGGCTCAGCTCCCTCTCCTCGCCAGTCCCAGGAGAGTCTGCCGGGGGCCGTATCTCCGCTGAGCGGACGGAGGCGGAGTCCGGGGCTGCTGGAGCGGAGGGGCTCGGGGACGTTGCTCCTGGACCACATCTCGCAAACGCGGCCAGGTTTCCTGCCCCCGCTCAATGTCAGTCCCCACCCTCCCATCCCCGACATTCGCCCTCAACCCGGAGGTCGGGCACCTTCGCTGCCTGCCCCTCCGCATTCCGGGACGCCAGGCTCTCCCAGGACCAAGCGCAAGTTGGTGAGACGTCACTCCATGCAGACTGAGCAGATACGCCTGCTAGGGGGCTTCCAGAGTCTAGGCGGGCCAGGGGAGCCAGGGCGCTGAGAGGAATGAAAGGAGCCAAGGAGGGTGGAGAGATGAGGACCTTGATGGGACAGGTGGAAGAACCAGCTCACACACACACCACGGGCATAGGGGTCTCTTGCATGTGTTCATGGGCACGGTGCACTCACATATGAGTAAACGTGTCCACAAGCACAACACTCTTATTAGCAAGGAAGGATAAGTATTCTAGTTACTGGGTATATAGACACATGCATTCGTGCCCTAGTCATTTCACATGCATGTGGGATTGCTTGTGAACCCACAGGCACAGCACACCAATTGAACACACAGGGCCACTTGTGCTAGGGTCCCAAACTCACTTGCATTTTCAGAAGCAGTAGGGAACCCGCTACTTAAGGTGGTCTCTGATATCTTTGCCCTCCTGCAGAAGCAATCCATTGCTTTCCATGTATGCCCTGCAACACAGCCTATCATGATTTTGCACACTCTACCCTCTTCATGAATATCCCACCCCATTCTGCAGGCCTTGTTTCTCTCCAGGCCTGGCTCCTTGTTCACACTCTGCTTCCAGCCTCAACCAACCACTTTTCAAGATATTTTCTTCACTCTTCTTTTTTTTTTTTTTTTTTTTAAAGATGACCGGTAAGGGGACCTTAACCCTTGACTTGGTGTTGTCAGCACCACGCTCTCCCAAGTGAGCTAACTGGCCATCCCTAAATAGGGATCCGAACCCGTGGCCCTGGTGTTATCAGCACCACACTTTCCCAAGTGAGCCACGGGCCGGCCCTCTTCTTCACTCTTCTTGGGGGTTCCTGCAGCAACCTCCAGCCTCTGATCTGCTGCTGCCTTTCCTGCTCCCAACTTCACTTCTCAACTTCCTGCTTTTTTTCCCCACCCTGTTCTCCCAACCACTACAACAGGCTGTCTCATTTTCCCAGGGGGTGGGTCATGGGCTCTAAGCTGCTCTTCTGTCTGTCTGAGCTTATGAACATCCCCACAGGCAGAAGTGGGGAGTAACCCTAAATCACTCCTCTCTCCACTTGACATATAAAATAAATGTGTTCAGAAGTCTTTGTTTTGTTACTTCTGCCTGAAGGTGTGGGGTGTGGGGAATGAGGAATGGGGAAGGAGGGTAACACTAACTTATAGCTACAGTGATCCAGGGGTTATTTAGAGGTGCCAGCCACCTTCTTTCCAGGAGACTAACTGACCAACTGTGGTTGTAGAAGAAAAGGCCAGTGTCCTGGTGTCCTGAAGGGTTTAAGGCATTCGACAGGCTTTTATTTCCTTTCAGTTTCCCCTATGTCCATCCTTAAATTCTTTAAGATTCCTACAAAGAGTTCCTTCCTCCACCATCAGCAGATATATCCCAGTAGATAAACTCCTTCTTTCAAGCTTCCTATTTCTTGACCATTCACAGTTTTTACTCAGGGTCTAATTTTCATTTCACCAGGTGTGGTTCATCCACTTTCTTCTACTTCTGCCCTCTATTTCCCTATCCTTAATTTCTGAGCCACTGTAGGAGAGATTGGGATGGGTGTGCTGGGAGTTAGTACAACCTCACCTAAGTAAAAATGGCACGATTATCAACTGACAAAAGGTGTATAGTGTTTGTGTGCATGTGTGTCTGTGTGTGCAAGTAATCAGAGGAAACCAGCCTGACAGGTTCTATGAATAAAGTATCCTTCCTAATCTGCCCCCTGGACTTCTCAGTTTGCTGGTTTTCTGCATGTATTGCAAATCTTTCTCACTCTAATGGAAGGTAAAGGAGCCCTCCATTCTGCTCTCTTACTCCCTCCCCCAATTTGGAATAAGTGAAATCAGAAAATTACCCAAATATGTGGCATAATTAAAAGATGAAAATATTGGGAATCAGAACACCTATGTCTTAACTCCTTTTTTCCATCTCCTAGCTATTTAACTTGGGGCAATTTATCTGAACTCCCTGAGTGTGTTTCCTTATCCGTAAAATAAAATCTAGTTAGTGATTGTGATTATTAAATAAGATGACACACTAAAATACATTGTATATGCTCACGTGTCAGTATCTTTCCTTGCTTTACCTCTACTAGAAATTGTATGTGATCTTGGACAAGTCACATCACTTCTTCTAATCAGTTTCCTCATCTACATCTATAACATGAAGTGGTCGGATAAATGATCTCTAAAAATCCTCTCACTCTGTCTACAATGTCTACCAGCCTTGCATCCAATCCTTTTTTTTTTTTTCCAAGCCCCGCCCTAGGAGTCCAGCTCGCTTTTTACAGCTCGACACAGGACTCCCAAAGACGCGCTCAAGGTATGGTTCTCCCTTGTAGAGGATATAGCTTTTTCTCTTTGCAGTTGGTTCTTAGAACCTCCACCCTCCTCAAAAATTTGCCTATGGCCCAGAGGTAACCAGCCAGCTCCCGCCCCCTCACTGGTGATTGGCATGAGACTCGGCTCGTCTCCGCCCCCACTTGACTGACGGCTCGGCCCCGGCCCTGGCCCCGCCCTCAGTCCCCGGGCGACGCTGACGGTGGTGGCTGGGACCGTTAGCTCGCCAGACTGGCAGCCTCCGGGTTGCTACTGCACTAGCGGCTGAGATGGAGACGATGCGAGCGCAACGGTTGCAGCCTGGAGTGAGCCCCAGCGGGAGGGGCACTCTTCGAGCGCTGCGGCCCGGAGTGACCGGGGCCGCGGCG